TATATACGTATATAGATTATTGCTAGTTAGAAACAGATTTTAAACTTATTTTTCTTAAAACATAGAACAGTAAATAAAGAAGTAAAGCAAACAATTATCTTTTCTATTTATGATTTTTGTACTCAGTTGCTGCTTGACGTAGATTGCTAAGCCTTTAAAAAATTTGCACATGGAGGATATGAAACAAAATAATGTTTTTTAGGTTTTATATATATATACATTTGAATAATTAAATAATCATAAATTACTACATTAATACCATAGAATTCCACTATAATTTATCAAGCTTAGTAACTAAAATGTATTTGAGTCTAAAACATGTGAAATTTCGAGCAGACTAAAGACATACCCTATCTCATTGAAATATTGGTTTGAAAAAAAGGAATGGCACCAAGCCCATTAAAATGGCTAAGAAATCCACTAGGGGACATTCTGAGATTCTGATTGGTTATTCATGTCAAATACAGAAGTAAGTGTATATAAGGGAGTGTTTCCAAAAATGGAAAGAGGTGGGTGGGGTGCCACCGTGTTTGATTTTATATTCTAGCTTGTCAATATTGGTAATTTGAGTTCCTAATTTGTTCGAAACTATAGACTTAGTATTTTCACATCATAAACATCTAATCTGAACCAGTGCTACATTCAACATACCAAGTGACACAAAAACTGATGTTTAAGTGTTTTTTTTAATATTTATTTTTAAACTAACAAACTGAATAATGTATAATACTAAAATCTGAATTATAATCTACAGTTTGATACCAAATTTATTGACATAAGTTCATGAAATAGTAGTTCTATAAAATTTTTAATTCAAGTCAACAAACATGATGACATGGCCTTTGACCTGTGACCCATCTGGAAAGGGATAATTGAAAAAAAAACAACATAATTCATGTGTGTTTTTACAGACACAAAATAAATAAGCCATAAAACCATGAAAACCTGGGGCTTGATTCAGAAACAATCTTATGAATAACAATATAAAAACCACTTTACATAAATAGAACACTTACAACCCTAAAGCATTAAAAAAATTGTCACTGTGAGCATTTCACCTAATATTATCAAAACATAACAAATTTTAAAAAATTGGGGGTTTAATTCATATGATTTAAGTGTATATTTCTCCAAATTTGTATCACCTAAGCCATAACTAAATATAACTTCTGGTATATAAAAATGCTACTTCAAATATTTCAGTGATTCTTTTTCTATCATACTGCTATAAAATATTTTTACAAAACTGCTTACCTTGTCTTTACAAAATGCTCTATCACTTGGATACAAAAGAAAATAACATGTTCATCCCTTTGAAAAAAAAAAAGGTAGATTATGAAGACATCATGGGACAAATGCTATAAAAGTATACATAAAAAGAAAGAAAAAAAAGACATAACAGTATAAAGACAATTATGGTATTTTAAGTTTCCACACTATGAATATACACAATATACATTACCTAGCAAGTATCTAACATACTTACAAAATCTGTGCAGATGTTAAAGTTCTTGCACACAATTGCCATCCATCCTCTGAAGCCTTCAGTTGCTCAAAGTACTGCAAGGCCTGTAAGTATTAATATAGGTGACTGAACCAAATTGATACTAATTTTATAAAAGTCACTAAACATAAACAAATTACTTATGCAGTCTCCATAAGAATCTTTTATAGCAATAAATGATAAAAAAAAAGCTTTGGAATAAAACATGTGAAACTTTAAAATTCTGAAAAAACTTCTTATAATGATGTTTTTCATTTAGAAAACAAGCTACGCACATCCATAGTTTTCATCAATTCTAGTCTGGTTGCAACTTTAACATAACTTGGTAATATATACATAAATAAAATGTGGTTAAAAGAACTTATTTTGTTTTCCTCACTTACAAAATTAAGAGTCACTGCTCTCAGTATCTTTATGTAGGTTCTTCCATGTTTTTAACCCTTGTGATTTCAACACTTTTTAAACTTTTTATTCAGTGAAACACCAATAGTATAAAATGTTAATTATCACAAGCAAAATAATATCTAATATATAATTCTTACCCTCCTCTCTTCTCTGGAATGCATATTGATTCACCAAAAACACTTAGCAAGTAGAATGAAATGTACGAACTACACATGAATAATTGCCTCCAAAAAATACAGAAATTATCCAAATCTATTTCAAAAATACAGTGTAAAACTATTTTTACTGAAAATATACTGAAAAAAGATATATAATGCACTGCCCTTTAAAATCTTTATGTTATGGAGAATTGTTTTTTGATTCAGTGTTTCAAGGAGCTTACTAAAGATAAAGCTATTCTTTACTTATAGGAAAAAGAGATTTTAACATGTTTGCAGAAAAGCCTGAATGATAATGTACACCACGAACAGGTGCACCACTAGGTTCTGCTAAAACCAAGTAAAATATTAACTTTCAAATGAATTGGGCAGGGCACTGGTGTTGATTAAGTTCATACTAACAATATCTCATTCCACATCTGTGTTGTAACAAGATGCTGTCATTTGCGAACTGTATGAGAGAACTTTAAAAATTCATTGAAAAGTGAATGTTACAAAATTTTTGAACATACAGTCTGTTTTTGCATATAAATGCAATATCGATGAATTTTGGGCTTCTTTTACATACAAATTATTTGGACTGTATTATATATTAAACAGTTCTCATTTCTAGCTTGGTTTTTGAACACCACTTAAATAATGATTTCTGCACCACAACTTTTGTAAATAAAAGGAATAGCTTGTTCTGGAAAATAAACCAATCATTTCACACAGTATTATACAAGTTCTTTGAACAGCAAAATTTCATATATAAAAAAAGCTATGTTAAAATTGATTTTTACTTGTTACCTCTCACAGCAAAGTAGAAAGGAGTTTTAAGAAAGTATGTTGGTTATATCACATTCACAAAGTAATGGCAGTTTATATTTCATTTTCGTATTTTAAAGGATAGATTTTCTACATAACAAAGTTAAAAATTTGATAATGAGGAACTTTTTAAAAAAATACAGTTTGAAAGTTTAACATAAAATATAAGTTCCAATAAAAAAAGTAGATAATGCATTTGTAAAGGTTTCAAACAACAAAGTGCATGTAGAAAGCATTATAACTGGTTGACATTAAAATAAATAGTCAAAAAATATTAATTTTTTTCAAATCCATGCTCCAAAAATAACCCAAAGAGCCCGTTAAAAAGGTAAAACCAACTTTTTTTTTTTGAAGTATTAGAGTGAACACCGGATCTAATACTCACATCCTAGTCATTACCTTGAAGTAATCCTTTTATAAGGCATTTGATTTTGACACCTACTTGAAAATATTAATCTTGATTTACACAAAGTTTTTGATAGCAAGTGCACAGAAAGTTGGATAGGAAAAAACACACAACAGTGGTTGAACAAAATGTTTCAAATTGGGAAACATGATTGGTGGTGGTCTGTTCCTTATTTACATTAATGATTTGGATAGTTTCTTGAACTTTAATATATATATGTATTCCTAAACTTGCTATTGATAGTACAACTGTGGATGCAAAACATACCTTTGTGAATGTTTCTAAGCCCAGAAGAATCTAAAGTTTTAATGAGTGCAAAAAAAAGGTTGATTATGAGTTTCAATGTTGAAGAGTGTAATGGATAATATAGAAAGGACTTATTGCTGTGATGATGTTCAAAAAGAACACTTAGGACTGTGAGAAAGTTAAGTCAATTCTTCAACCAGAATAAGGGCTAGTTTAAAAAAATCTGGGAAAACATTAAAATGCTTAAATTATGGTAGAGAATAAATAAAAAATCTTCAACATATTTTAAAGTATATTTTTAATACAAAATAAAAAACCATGATACAACCTTCAGTTAAAAACATTATGAAAAAAGTTCTGCTGAAAAACCAACAACCTATATGTTTCACTTTCTATTATTAAAATGTTGTGTACATTTTAAAAGCTGATAACACATAGTATTTCAAATTTTGATTATTCAAAATACCATACTGTTTTATGAGATAATGTAAACTTATTGATGGGAATGTTTATAACCTACTAAATAAACCATGAAATCACAATGATAAACAAGCAAGAGAAAGAGTTGATAAAATCCTTTCCCACTCTTAGGTTTTCATGGCTTACCTACAAATGTTTTAGATAGTTTTATCTCAGAACTCACAAGAAATGTATGTGTGAATTCTCAATATAGACTGTAACAAATAACTGTAATACTAGCACATGTTCCTAGAGTTGGGAAAGAAACTGAATTAACTGATATAATGTATTACTTATGACAATTGATTACATCTAAGTAATCAAAATATTGTCATTATATTTGTTTGACATTAAGCAACAGGCTATCTGTGTTCTGCTCACCATGGGTAAATGACCTGACTTTTAGTTTTTTCTATTTCAGCCACCTCAAGAGAATAATAGATTAGTTGAACAGAATTGATTAAAAAGTAATAATCAATTGGTAAATTTCATTAATCACCCAGTTCTACATGAATCTGTAACAATATGTTCTATCTATTTATCACATGTGTATTAAAGTAAAATTTTTTGAATCTGATAGTAACAACTGGCACTACCACAAACTATTACTAACAACTTTTGCTAAATTAGTTTCTTACTTGACCCAGAAAATTATCATTTAATCTAAAACATACATCTTACTTCACTCAAAAATTTCATACCCTTGTCTGAACAGTTGGATCATGATGGGAAGCAAAACCTTGAACAGCTTCAAAGTCCATTGCTAATGATATCTTCTTACTAGGTCACTGTAGCTTGAGCACTGAGGTATTTCAGTTCAAGAAGAAACATATGTAATAACAAAAAAAGATTTCCTAAATCACTTATCACAAAGGTTTTCCTACAAATTAAGTACAAGAATATAAAATTCATTAGTAGGCTTACATTTAGTTCATGTTAAGGTAAATTTTTGCCAACTAAAGTGAAATGCAATGTATTTTTGTGGCTTGTTTATAGTGAAATAATTTTGACATGGTGCATATAACTTGAAGAAATTTAAAGTACTTACAAACCTTCCATATAAAATGAGGGAAGAGTGATATTCAAAATGCAATACACATAAACCTATATGTAAAGTATGGAAACTTTTTTAAGATATAGGCACTTACTCTCATGAAATTGAAATATTAATTTAACAAATAAAAAAAAATATTTACAAGGTTAGTTATAACACCTAAAATTGTTTTATTATAAATATTTAAAATTATAAAACCTGCATAAGAATTTAAGAACATAAATACATGCAAGTGACACCACAGCATTACAGTTCCTTAAAGGCATCCTCTATCAGCCAAAACCAATTAATGAAAGCATCAAAAACAATTCAGTACCACCCTTCTAATTCAAAATATGGTCTTTCATAACTGAAACCTAGTGCTCTTAATATTAAATTTGGCATCTCCAGCCTGTTTATTACACTTTTTTTAAACAGACTACCAATGTACAGATTATTCAAATTAATAAAACCCTTTAATTATTCTATGCTACAGATAAAACTGACTTTTTAGCATTTTTATACAACTCAAATTTCTAAAAAGCAAAAAACAATCAATAGCTTATCTCTAGAGTTTGTACAGCATGTTGACATCCTTCCAGTATTGCATTTCCCAGAGTGTGGGACACACTTCCCTCCAGGTGGGCATGAGCAATTAAGTTAGAGCCAATTGTGCAATAATACAAAATTAAGTGTTTTAATAAATTTTTATTAATGAAAATGATAAGTAATTACTACAACACATACAGCAATTTAATGCATATCCATGTATTATAATTTGTTACTTAACTCAATTTTTCACTTATGGAAAAAAAAAGAGGAGGAGGGAGGAGGCAGGCAAGAAACCATACTTATTAAAGGGGAGCATGGATGATAAGTTTTGGGTAATACTGCTGTAGTGAATGAATTGAAAATACACACAGTACTCCATAAGATATTACCTGTCTTGGACAATATAACTTTTTCACTCTCAAACTTCAAATTTCAATAAACAGGTCCCAAAACTTTGCTTATTATAATCAAAACAACTAAACATTGTAAGTTTTTATTAACAATCAAACTTTTTTTCTAAAATACCAATGCTTCTCTAATGCAAGAAGTACATATCTTCCAAACTTTCTTATCTCAATGTCAAAACTCACTTTTGATGTTATTTTCCACTAACAAATGCTTTTAAGGTCCTTCTGAATAGAAGGAACATTCCCAAAAGAATCAGCTATTCCTACAGTTTAGTATCTTCAGTAAACTTAAGAGATATAACTTTAAAGCTAATCAAATTATTGGCATAAATAGCAAACAACAAATGTTTCAAAATAGGACTCTGGAGGACTCATTACTAACATTGTAGCACCCAAAAAAAATGCTAATTTATCACCATACCTTGCTATCTACCAGTACATCAGGTATCTATTTACCCGTTTCTCCAGTAAGTATATAATTATCATATTTACTTATCAGTTTCTTTGTGGCACTTTATCAAAGGCTTTCTAAAAACTAGGACACAACATCAACATTACATGGGTGCTTTCATTCAAAGCAAATAATTTGAGTGAAAAAATTGTAGAATGATTTGTCTGATGATGTTGCTTAAGTTGTTTGCATCCATTTCATTAAAAAAAACTTTTTATTCTATATATGCATATACCTAAGTACATTTAACTGTCTCTGATTCTTGAGTTTATTTGTTTTAGTGGCTGGAAGGTTGACCTTTTAGACACTGACCTTTCTCACCATGAAGAGCTTATCATCTGCAGTGGGATCAGTGAATTTCTACACAAGTACAGTGTAAATATCATGTACACAAACATTAATATTTTATTACAAAATATACAACATTTAAAACTAAAGATGCATTAGAATATTTTACAAAAGAAGACAAAGCAAACTAAAGTTACTGTGATGAAAAAATAATAACTAAACAGAAGGTGATGGTGAGTTTTTCTAAAAAATTCTATATAGAAAACAAATAATCTTGTTTTTTAAACTAAAACAAAAAATTGTAAATCTTAAAAAATAGCTTCACCTTCATTCATATACACAATTTAAGAACCACTGGGGGTCTGTTGGTCCAACTAAGCTATCACATCCACTAAAATACAAATAAAACACTCAAAGCCAGTCACTATCATTCAAATATTTATCAAGCCTTCCCTTTAACTCCCTCAAATTAACTACATCTACTACATGTCATCTTAAGGCAACCATCCTGTTAGAAAATAAAACTATCTTACCTGAAGACGACTTCTACTATGTCAAAATTTATATTTTGTGTCCCCTAATCTTACCATTAATTATGAAAAAATAACAATGCATCAATTCTAACAATCATAAACATCTCAATGAGATCCCCTCTGACTCTTCTTTTTTCCATGATAAAACAATTTCAGAGATCTTAACTTATCCTCTTATGACAACCTTTCCATCAAAGATATCATCCTAGTAACCCTCCTCTGTACCCTTTCTAACAATTCAATATTCTATTTAAGGTAAGGAACTCAATACTGAACACAGTACTCCAAATATGGACTAAGCAATGACCTGCACAATGACATTATAACCTCTTAAGACTTTTATTCAATATTTCTGTAAAAACAACCTAAAATTCTATTTTCCCTTCCATTGCTCAGATGATTTCAGACTGATCAGCCAGAACACTAAGATTCTTTTCTTTAATAACACTGTTAAGGTTATTTCCATTAAAATTATATTTAATAATTTAAACTGTGATATCACACATGTATTACCTTACACTTATTATAACTGAAAGACATTTTCCACTTATTCACCCAACTCACCAAAATATCCAAATCCTTTATTGAAGCAGCAGCATCCACCTCACAGCCAGCAACACCCAAAACCATAATATCATCATCAAATTTAAATAATTTATTAGCTATTCCTTTATAAGTAAGCTGTGACGTACTCCACTTATGACAATAATCTAGTTTGATTGAACTCCATTTATAACAATCCTCTACTTTCTTGCATCTAGCCAGTTTTTATCCAATCAATTTAAAGTCTTTTATGTGGCACTTTGTCAGATGCTTTCTAAAAATCCAGATACACCAAATCCACACCCACATCTACACAAGCAGCAAATGCTTCAAAGAATGTCAAAAGTGAAACTACGCTGACTATCCAATAAAACTTTAAACTTTATTAAACGTCTTTGCAAAACATGTTTTATTAGACTTTCAAAAACTTTATCCACCATTAATGTAAGACTAATATGCCTATAATTACTGAAACAATTTTTATCATCTCCCTCAAAAAGTGGAGGTAGCATTAGCCAACTTCTAGTCTTCTGGCACCTGCCATTATTCAAGGACTTAGAAAATATTATAGCAAGTGGCTCACATAAACAATCCTTAACCTCCTTCAAAACCCTTGGGGAAGTATTATCTGGTCTGTGAGTTTTAAACATTTTTCTTTAAATTTCCCAATTTTTCTTAGTCCATGCTTTACAACATCTTACAAAATGCTAATGGCTAAATTTTGACACAATTTAAGTCCTCTAAAAACATGAATATTGATAGGCCCAGAATTGAAAAACCCCATTTGAATGTTTCTGTTTTTTTTCATAAGTATGTTCAGAAAAAATCATTCCTGTACATATAAAGGTTTTGCATTAAGTTTATGGGTATTGTTTTGAAATAAACATATTCTCATTATATTTATGCAAAATATTTTTAAAAATCTATATCAGGTTCAGAGCATAATCTAAACATAAAAAAAGGTGGAGCTTAATTTTCTGCTCTTATATAATAGTAGGGTTAAGTGTCAACAAAAAAATTATCAGCTTGAAGAGATTTACTACTAGTAGTAGTACAAGGCTCCAACATTTAACAAGCATAATAATGGCTG